CTCAAGCCAGCCAAAGGAGAAAATCAAAGTGAAGCCGGAAGTAGAGGCCGCAGGCAGTGGGAACGCCCCGAAAGGTGACCAAAAAAGCTGTTGGCGCCAAATCAGCTGTCCTTTCCGTCCAATAGCGTCTTTTGGTTTTGGTAGTCGTTGGCGGCGTGTCCCTCCAAACCGGAAGTCACCCCAGGCTTCACCTCTGATGGCGTCATTGCGCCTCCAGAAGCTTCCGACCATAATGATCGACATCACCAAACTCAACAACAGCGTCATCGACATGAACAACAACGTCAACTTGTGCATCAACATTGACATTAACATCATCAGTATAACATCATTATCACCATCAACATGGACATTATCGTCATCAACATCAACATCACCAGCACCACCATCAGCACCACCACCAGCAACAACAACAATAATAATAGCAACAACAACAACAAAGAAGCCAACCTCGCCGTGCAGCTAGAAAATTGACTGAAATTATGAGTGATAATTTTTTAAGATTTGATATAACAAATGATCACACCAGAAGTAGGATCAACCTTGAAGTGTTTGACTGTGGAGTGAGATTCTCCCCTGCTATGATCGAAAGTCTTCTTTGGTTAATCTTATAGTCCGTTCACCGTTAAGCTGAGACTGCAGTCAAAGCTACAAACGAGAGCGAGCTCACACTCCTATTTACAAAAGGGCTGGCATATCGTTCCGGGCCTTTTCACAATCCGTACCACCTGGTCATTATGACGAGGTGGTACGGATTTTGTCAACGGCAGAGTAGGTTAGTGACTATGTATGATTCAAGCTTCTTTCTCAGGCAGACATTTGTCAACGCGTGCTGTGTATATTTTTCTTTTGTGCGTACTAAGCACCATGTGCGGACCATGTGCGGACTATTGTCCGGCAAATCGGGTACTACAGTGGTGGAATGCCTTCATATCCAGTCCCAACTTGCGTGGTGGATGCCAGACAATGAGGTTGAACGGAAACAAAAATTGAAATATTTAAATTTCACGATTAGAAGTATGACAAGCACGGGCGGGAATAAGTGAAGGATATAGGTGTCCAGAATGGGTGATTCTTTTGGCGGAGGAGTTGGAAATTGTAGGAATGCAAAAGTCTCCACAGAATTAGTCGCAATCGTGGAATCACCATCCATCTTATTTTTGTTTCCGCACAATGAATGGCTAACTTAAAAACTTAAAAAAAATAATAATGACAGGTGTTTAGGAGGGCCACAAGCCAAGGTGCTAAACTGCGGCTTTCAATTGTACCTTGGACGAGTACATGATGGAGACCGAGACGGAAGAACATATGTATATGTGGCGGTTTCACGTGACGTACTTCCTTCTTCAAATCTTGCTTGACGCCAAATTTTGCACTATGTCTTTCTATGCGCACAGGCAGTGTTTTCCACCTAGCTGGAGTTATTTTGCTTCCCAATCGATTGCTCCAGTCAGAAAAAAGTCGGGAATAGAGCCACTAAATGAGCCTCGCTTAGGGTATCGGCACTCCGTCCGCCGACGTTGTTGCGGGCGCCGCCATTTTGGCTCGTATGCAGAGCAGACGCAACTGCCGACCGTCACGATTCAAAAGTGCTACTTCCTCGGCATAAGACTCAGTGTTAGGAAGGTTATGTAATATTGCTTTGCTCTGTCGAAGTGTTTAAACATTTTTGGATGGCAGAAAAGTGTTTCCTGTGCTTTAGCTTCAGATAACTGGCAACCATGATATTAAGACACAATATGGCCAAGTGTCGTTACTCTGAAGCGTAGCTTATTTAGTGGCACTAGTCGAGAACATATAATCTATTTTTTTGTATATCGGTTTTCATAGAGAAGTTTACTCGTCGGCGGCCAGAATGGCCCCGGTAGATGTCGCCGGGGCTACCCCGAAAGAGAAAAAACGGAGCAAGAGAGGTTGTATGATCTGGACACTGTTCGTGATATGGCAGGACGCGCCTTGCCGGAGTTGAGAAGGTGCTTCCTTGAACCGCCAATAACATGCCTCGCACGTGACGTCAAAAAAAAATGGCACCGTAACATCTGCCATTGCCCCGTATCATGCTCCAGTGCCTGTACCTTCTGTAGCATACGTTTGGGACCATCATATCTGTTCTTCCGGCAAGGCTTGCTGAATAGAACAAACTCGATGGTGCTAAATGTATAGGCTGCAGAAGGTACGGTCACGGAGCATGGTCGGGAGCAATGGCGGCTGATGTGACGTCAATGCACGCGGCGCTGACGTCACGCCGCTGCCGTGGCGCAGCTATTGGCAGGGCGCATGCGCAGATGACGCGAGTCTAGTTCGTGCGCATGCGCAGTGCCCACACCTCATGCGGAAACCGCGCATACGCCCTGCCGCTGCCGTGGCGCAGCTATTGGCAGGGCGCATGCGCAGACGCTCCACTTGACGCGAGTCCGCGCACGAGGTGTGGGCACTGCGCATACGCGAGTGCGTATGCGCAGTGCCCACACCTCGTGCGCGGTTTCCGCACCGTGTGTGGAAACCGCGCGAACCTCGTGAGGGCTTGTTTGTAAAAAGCGCGTTGGCCTATAGACATCACGCGTGTCTTTTGTGATCCATTTAGTTTATTAAATGTCTCTTCGTCTGGGTTTACACGAATGCGATTGTAGCGCATCGAATCGGGCAGAGACCAACGACACGCATCTTGTCTCCCGCCTTCATCCTCTTCTGCTCATCTGCTACCAATCAATATAGTCACATCTCGATTCGATGAGCTACGGTCGCATCCGTGTAAACGCAGCCATTGTCCTTTACACTTACAGCCGCGTGCGCGTGGCTTTCACATTTTCTTTCCTTTCACGAGCACTCCCGAAAGAAAAGCACGGAAATCTGAAAACTAGTCGCCTATGCCCTTGGCTTTGCTGCACACAACTCCTGAGCTAAAGTATATGCACGTTTCCTTACAAAAATGAAGGTGCTACCTGCTCATACGTGCTAAATCACGGTCAAGTCAGTGCTCGCTCGCAATTGCGGCCAGTCAGAAAGTGCGCGTGCATAACACAGAAACACAACCAACGAACGCGCTCACTTAAGTTTTCATGTAAAGGTGTATAGACCTTTCCGAAAAAGGGCTTGTGGCCGGTTCTATTTTCAGTGAGTCTTGCATATGGTGCATGATTTGCTTGCATTCCGACACGACGAACTTGCGCGTGCTGGGCCGAGGAAATCTAACGCTGGGCTGAGGACTTTTTAATACTAGAAAGGTCTATAGTAGCTTTTTTGTTTTACTAATATCTTGCACGATTGAGTACAACACGCCGAATAGCCCATGTTGTGCGTTAGGACTAAATGTGCCGCACACAGAACTAGCATGATGTGATATCCATGGATATGGTTTGTTTAACGTGTTTAACCATTTAATAAGCGTCAATGTATCTACACTTTGCTATGGCTTGAACCAGTCACCTAGCATAGGAAGTCAGGACTCCTGATAGACATCTCGCCATATAGACCAAGTCGAAAATTACCGCCCGCTGGGTTGGTTTGTGCAACGTCCCTGGCGAGCGAAATGGGATATTTTTGGATCATGTTTTCGTCGTGCGTAACATTGCGTCCTTTGAAACGTTCTCTTATTGCCCGTAAACAGACGATGAGAGTTGGCAGAAAAACGCTATAGTTTGCAGATCATACATGATCAGGCGCTAGGTAGAAAAAAGGAATTCCGAAAATGTTGAAAAAAAAACAACAAAAACTACCAAGAAGACAAGTTTTTTTTTCGGAAGTTTCGGAACCATTAAAAATTGTCTGAGCAGGAATAATCCAGCATTAATCCAAAATCTAGCTACCAAAGTCGATAACAGCAAGAGTGTTTTGCGAATTTTTGTGGTATTATCTTATTATAAAAATTGTTTTAGCGTTAATGTGAACTTTTGCCAATTTAGCTGATTCCTCGCTAATCATCTGCCAACTGTCAGCAGAAGAAACCCGATCCAAAGGGCAAATCCAAAATAATTCAATCCAATCCACGGGTAGCTCGCTTTAGCTTTGCGAAGCCACGTGCACAACCCGCCAAGTTCTCGGAACTTGGGAGCGGCGTTTGCTTGGATCTGTTTGAACTTTTCGCTGCCATGGTGAGACCCCGTTCAAATATATGGGTAAGCTTCGAAATGCTCAACACTGGTAAAGGACCAGCTATATGTAGATTTTGTTGTGCCAAGTACGAATTTCCAAAGACAACCGTTGGAGACCTCCCATGCAAAATGTTCAAAGTGGCATCTGGCATTATATATCCCTCAAGAAAAAGGCCTTCTGAGGAAGTTGTGTGGCCAGAACGTACACCGCCGAAAAATGAAAGCGCAAATAACTCTCGAAGAGAGACTGATAGTCCTCATTTGTTGACAGAATCACACCGAAGTGCCGAAGGAATCCTGGGGGGGCACTTGCGCTAGCGATATACAGGGTCTCTCCAAAAAGTGTCACCCGTTCGCGCCTGTGGTTGATCTTTCAATGCAGATAACATAACGTTCACCAACTTACTCATCTTATCACCAGCGCTATAAGGTCACATTCTCAATAATCTTGAGCCTTTTATGACGAGTAGTTAATTTATGTGAGCCGGAAAACTGGGCTTTATTTTATATCACGAACCCGGCATTTACTAAAATACGAATATTATTCCCCCATCTGCTTTCTCAACGAAACCTATTGAAAAGGTGCATGCCATGGCTATTTTTAGTTTTGACACAGTCACTATGCTTTCTAAGTAGACGTTCGTTGCGAAAATTAGCTGAGCAAGTTAGTTGAATAAACTGAATTTCGTTTTTTTCCAGTTTTTTATATAAAAAAAAAACAAAATAGAACCCCCCCCCCCCCAATTTATGGCTTTCTTCCGAGCCCTCGCATCCCTAGCACTAGAATGCCACTTCGGTGGCACCTCTTTTGTGATCGCGTCTCGGGGAAGCTACAGCGCCCCCTGGCCGAGAAAAACAGGCGTATAACTTCAGTGTGGTCTTTTTTTTGTTTGTTTTATTCTTATGCAGAGCAGTATCTCTTGGGCAACATAGCTGAGCTCCTCTTGGGCTCCGCGAGCAACAGCCCAAGTCTGATCCACTGGCTGCTGCTGGTGTGCGCGCAGAATCCCGATAAGATCCAGGCCAAGATTCAGAAAGAGGTCGACGATGTCGTCGGTCGTCAAAGGCAGCCCACGTGGGAGGACCGCAAAGCCATGCCCTTCACCATGGCCAGCGTGATCGAGATAACCCGATGGAAAGTCATCTTAGCCATCGGGTTGCCTAGGGGGTACATTCTTCTTTTTTAATCTTCGTTTGGATTTATGACCAAACAAAGGCTGTTTGCGAAAAAGAAAAAAAAAAAAAAAAAAAAAAAAGAGGACTGTGTTTTTTTTTATTTACCTCAAAATTAAACTACCCATTGCCGTATGCCTAGTTTTCGCCCGAAATGGAGCTCGGTTGGAACCAAACGCGAAAGTTTCTAGAACTCGCCTGTCTCTTATTTAAAGAGTTGGAACCATTGGCCGGAAGTTTTAAATGAGTAAATCGTTGCCTACAGAGCCTGCAAACATACGGGAATTAATGGCGTTTGCCACCGATAACGGGTCCCATTTCTTCATTTAAAATGTCCGAAAATGGTTCATAACTTCTGAATCAGATAAACGTAAATTCCGACACCTTTTAGGAGACTGCCGCAACCGCTAGTGCTTCATCTGGGCAGAGACTGAGCATTCTAAAACTCGTAGTCAATTTCGGTGAAGGGACCAAGAAGCTTTTCTTTTTTCTCGAGCACCCGGTACGTAGAAGCTCGAGTAGAATGCTCTAAATTAAAATGTGCCGAACCCTTATAATTTCATCTAAATATTCACAGTTTTTTTATAGTTTCTTATCAAGAAATGCTTTGTCGCAGCTTATGTTATGATGAAAGAGTTTCTTCCGGAAATACTGCAGGTTTGGAGGCCTGAATTGTGATTATCACGACTGAAACTCTTCTTCCTCTTCTTTTGGATTTAATGAGTCCGTGCCGCGGCCCACCTCCATGTTGACACAAAGCAAAACCAAGTCCTGCTCAACTTTCGTAATTCCGCCCGAATTCTTTTCAACTAGAGGGCACGCAAGGTAAATACGCCGTCTACAAAAAAATCAAAAGAAAAAGAAAGGGATCCTTTTCAAAACCCCATCGAGCAACATTGACAATCGCCATTTTTTCTGCACGAAGCACGTGATTGGACGCATGTCCTCGCCGAACGATGACGTAGCCCTTCGTGTCCAATACGTGATCAGAGTACGTGACCAAACAATGTCGAACTCGAATAATTGGCTCCGGTAGGCACGATACACCGTTCACCACTGAGCTGAGAGTGCGGTGAAAAATACATCCTCGTTGGACGAATCGCACGCCTCCCTTTCGTCCCGTGATCACGCTCTCGACCATACCCACGCACGGAGAGACGGGTCAGTTGATGTAAGGGAGGCGGCTGATTGGTCCGGTGGGCACGCAGCTGCCACCAAAGTCTCAGCTTAGGGGTGAACGGGATCTAGATGACGCGCCCTTCTGCAAAGGGGTTATTGAATGAAGTAGCTGCATTTTGTTTTGTGTTTTACGTCGATATATAGTCGTTATTGGCGAGGTTTCGCAGCGTTAATCCGCTAAATTTAGTTGGCAATATTTTTGCGTAAGGTTTGGTGGGAAATCACAGTGTCGTGAGACCGTGACGTCAAGTCACGTGACACTAAAAGCTTCTCGCTATATTTAGCGGAGAATTTTTTTCTGTTAAATTGCACCCTTTTCTCTGCAGAGTACAAAAGGACACATCCATCGGCGGGCACCACATTCCTAAAGGAACTATGGTCCTGGTGAATGTCATGGGAGTTCACAGAAATCCGGAACTTTGGGAAAATCCCAACGAGTTTGATCCAACGAGGTTCTTGGTGGCCGAGGGTACTGAGCTGTCAAAAAAGCCGGAACATCACATCGCATTCTCGCTTGGTAATGCACAAATTTTTGCGGTATGCTTAAATAATGTATGGGCCAACCTAGGTCAAGGCATAGCTTAACGTAGCACGAGTATTAATCTTGCGATCTTTTATTTTCTAAATTGCAATTGCAGAAACCTTGGACTCCCAAATAGCACATGGTCATGAGGTGGATAATGAGGCACATATGAGGGGTTGCTGCTGGTGATTGGGCTCCACAGATACTATAGTAGCCAATAATTGCTCTACCGTGCAACTTCACACACAAATGTTTTTAGGTGATGCATTGATCATAGCGCGCTCAAACTTCGCAAGTGCAGGGTTTTTTTTCTTTTTTTTTTTGGGGGGGGGGGGGGGAGGGGGGGGATGCAAGAAAGAAAACGAACATGGTTTTCCGATGTACAGTGGGAAAAAAACAAACAAACCAAAACGTCTGGCTGACGCAGGTGCTTATAAATAACACCATATAAAACATATTTTTTGGTTGAACACTTGAAAGGTGATACAGCAGATCCGAGTGTGTGTCGTACAATTTACGAGCACCAGCGTACTTTTTGTCTCTCTCTCTTTGCACCTCAAAAGAAACATTTTTGTTTTCTAAAGCTTACTCTCACAAAATTCGAAAATGAGGAATACACATCTGAAGGCACCCCTGTGTCAGTTTTCATGGCTCTTCTTTCATTGACTTGTTTTATAAAGCATATTTACGCCAGAATAGCGCTCGAAAACACGCCCTGCAGTTTCAGATATTGCATATACCTCGAAAATAACGGCGTGTAAAGAAAAACCAAGAAAAAAAAAAGCGTTATTTTCTGAATGACACCCATAACCTCTTTGGGAGCCCGAGAAAAAAAAAGGGATGTTTCTAACCAACCGTTCCCCTTTCAGGCGATGTTCTAGTTAAGAGTGAAGTCTTGACCTGACGTTCTATATTCAGTTTACTGTTCAGGTGAGAGGAAAGACGTTCCGTGGTCACCGGACCAATCAATTGCCTATCATTCGTCGCCTGACCACAATCTGTGCCTTCTAGTATGTACAGCGAGCTTGATAACGTGATTCAAGACTGGCGGTTGACTTGTTCAACACGCACCTTACTTCCATCGCCGTGTCGGCTTTAGCAACCCCAAATGATCTGACGTGTGACGCGAATAATAAAAGTGACAACACGTTTAAATGTAAATAACGGGAACTACAAATAAGCAGTATGTGAGTGGAAATCGTGAAACCGTTTCTGATGAGCATAGTGGCGAGTGTATAGTTTACAGAGAAAGAAAATATCCCAGTAAGCCACGAATAAGATAGACACAAAGGATTTACTTTGATATAGAAAGACGAAAAAAGGGGCCGTAATATAAGAAGAACGCCCCTCATGGCTGCCGATTTAGCTAAACTACCATGTGCTTTGTTCCAATGCTCGATCAGATAGTTTTCTTTAATTTTTGAGCAGAAATTCTTCTTCCGGTAAATGTTTCGGAACACCGACATCTACTGGAGTTGTAGTAGAATTTTGCATTCGCGGACTCTGCAATGGCGGAACAGCAAACGAAAAATTAATTATTCCATGTCATAGCTCAGGCTGACTATACAGTCACAGCGATAGCTACGATCCCTTATCGGACCTCGATGTATCCTTGGGCATCTTGCAGTAAACCTGTGGTGACCATATGATGACCTTTTGAGGATGCACCCCGCTTCTTCTGCCGCGGTCGGTGCTTTACGTGGAGGAGCCATCGGCAATTCCCGGAGACACACGCACTTACTTCTTTAAAAAAAGAAAAGCTTTCCAACGAACGGAGCGTGAGACACAGGCGGCGTGATGCAACGTCGCCGCAACTGGCAGTCCCTCTAGCGGACGCCGCGTCAGGCTCGCATGCGCAGGTGTCCTCATCACATGCAGTTTATTATACCTAGTTTCACCTTACGATCTACCGCGATTGACACTACGAGCTGCGCGAGCCAATCCATAGGTCGTACCTTGTCTCGTGACTTCGGGCTCCCCGCGTTACTCCGCCTAACACGAAGGCCACGTGACACCCTCTGGGCTTTGAATTGGCTCCGGTGGCTTGTAGCGTCCTCTGCGGTCCATCGGAAGGTGAAACAGAGTATAGGTGGCTCTGAGGTAGCGCGCTACCTTCACAATTAGCGGACTCGTTATCGAATCCAAAGATAACCGTGGTGGGTTTTGGCTATTTATTTTTCAAGCATTACACACTAAGAACAAGGGCAGCGGTATTTAGTCCCTCCGGGGACCAAATGCGCTGCCACCACCGATGGCTCTCCACATAAAGCGCCGACCACGGCAGAAGGAGCGGAGCGCATCATCACCACTCCCCTGGGGTCTAACGGGAAGGGGAGCAACTTTTGCGTCCCTTCCGTTATTCCCTCAGAGTTGAACCCCCGGGACTAACCTTCGCACCTTTGTATTTAGGTCACTGGTACTAAATGGTGTGCCCTTACCCTTTTTTATTACCAAATTGTGCCGTTACAGACCCAGGCGGTGCTAGTCAACGTCAAATTCACAATTGGCTAAAAAGTTATCATTGCTGCGATAGCTTTTTCCTAATCTGATTAAATCCACGTTTGAGCAGCGCTTATTTCAGATTTGCACACGTATTATGCATTTAACATAGACAAGGATGTGAAACACAGATGACATACACGCAGAACACGCACGAAACGACACGCTAATCCAATCGCCGCCCCCAAAGCCTACACATGCGCCTATTTTACTGATCATTCAAAAAAAGTCGTTTGGTCAGTGACCCCTTCGTCCGTGAACTCGGTTTCTAATATGGTGCTCTTTTCGCACCAGTATTGTTCTTGAATATTGTTGCTAAACATTGCAAGGAATGTCTCTCTTCCTAAGAAGTAACGGTACACACAGCAATTATTTGCGACAGTCTCTAAAACAGCGCCTCCATAGGTTCCAGCAACCTTATGTTTGAGACGCTTTCTGTGTTGTCCCCTTTTTCGTCCGTCTTCTCCGGTTTTCAAAAATGTGTAGTATATGTTCTCGCTTCCCGTATAAACTGCCCCACTATCGCGTCTCTCAAACACCCGCATCGTCTCTTGCAAAAAAAAAAAAAAAAAAAAAAGCCTATTTTAAAGATTAAAAAAAAAGAATTGATCGGTGCATAGGTGTATTCTGTGTAGTACTACGTTCGTGTGGCACAAGAAGAGAAAGAGCGGTGTGTGGGGGGGGGGGGGGGGGGGGGGGGGCTGGACGTTTCGCGGAGTCGCCCTTAAGAGTCGCGTGAACTGCCCGTGCTGCAGAGGACGGGAGCTCGGCCGCCCAGCCGCTGTCCAGAGCAATGATCGAAGATTGTGGAATCACGGCTGCCGAAGCGGCGTCTATTGGCGAGGAGATCCAACTATAAGGGGCGCCGCGTCCACCAAAACAAATACCGCCTGCGTTAAAAAACAACTCCGGCGTTTCCGTGTGCGGCCGTTGGCTGCCGTGTTGTTGCCGCGTTGCCTTCAGGATTGTTAGAATATAGTACAGTCTTGTTGCGCACCGCAGTGCTCAGCGCTTGTTTTAGATCCTAGAATCAGTTTTCATCGCTTTCCTGCTGAAAAAAAAAGAAAAAAAAAACAACTAAAATCGCAGTGGATAAGTAAGAGCAAGGAAAAATTTGATTCCGCACGACGTGGTGTGTGGTCGTCAGTTTTCAAGTGATGCCTTCCAAGCAAACTACGCTAATGGACGAGGCATGTACGCGCGTAAATCACGCTTGTATCGACATCCGTTCAAACCGTACATTGTATTTTATAAGTAGAAGATATTCTGCCAACAACCGGCACAACAAACCGAGCAAAAAAGAAAAAAAAAATTGCCGGTAGTAGTGTCCATTGGGTTTCGTGAAAAAAGGAATAGTCAAAACGGGAACTTTTAGTTGTGTGAGTAGCTCAGTGGAAAGGTGTCCGTTTCCCGTGACGTGAATCCCAGGTTCAAACCGAAATAGAGGAACTTTTTTTCGTGAAGCTTTTAGCGATTTATCTTTATTTTTTTTTTCGAATAGTCATTGCGGTCCGAAACTCCCGGCAATCTTTTTTTCCCGAGTGGTTGTGCGGGCTGCCGGCAAAATATCCCCACCCTATTTCATAACAGTGCACAAGAGGAGGTTCTTTATACGCAATGCCGTTCCGTCGGAGAATCTTCCGAAGGGATCACTCGACCGGGTCGCGAGGCTTCGGAAGCCACCGGGAGGTACTGCTATCATTTGATCACTATTTTATTCCAGGCTAGCTTTTACACTGGAACACATTAGGTAGCAGTATCAGTTCGATATTGGGATATTTACGCATTTGCGTGAACCAGTTTGCGATTCCTATAATTTCGATTGAGCAATGCAAAGTCATGACTAACTCCTCGTCGTGCAGAACTCATTGATATTTCATCGGGAACCGTGCACCTTTGAATAACCGATAAATAAAACTGAAAAAAGACAACTTGTAACGTTTACTGCCAATATGCAGTCTAATTAACCACATTCTACATTATAATGTTCTCCAGTGTGTTCTGTATTTTGCCATTTTAAGAAATACGTAATGTAATGACTATTTTGGTTGATGTTTTGGTGAAAAGTTATCTGGGGCGACGCTGCGCTCGACTACATTTAAACATTTCAGCACGTCCTCGCTTTCAACGAGGCACCTCTTGCTCTCGCCGATGTGGCTGATGATCGTTGCAAGGGACAGGGACACTGAAAAGCAATGCGTGTGTTTCGTGAATACGGTTTCTCCAACCTAGGAAGCGCACAAACATCGCCACGCCGCGTCAGTCACGCACGACCTGGCGCGCGCCGCCGGTGCGACGCGGCCGATCGCGAGCGCCTACACGTGGGCTTGTTTTTGCTTTCAACGAGAATGCGGCGACATTTAAAGCAAGGTGAAACAAGCAGGGACTATGCTACCTCTACACAGATGCTTTCCGAGCGGATAAATATTATCCACATACCTTTCACGAGCCTCAAGTCCTCGTCCTCCATGGCTGAACGAATACTAGCGGCGAGATTGTTATCCTCGCAGAATAGTTGCGACGGCGGTCGCTAGCCAGCGCCACTGTTCAATCTCCTCCCCAATCGCCGTTTCAATCAGGCAGGAGCGCGTGGCGTTGAAGCGCGCGAGCAAACGAGTAAGCCAGCAGATAAGAAATTGCCGCAGGAACCACTATTATTGGTTGTCTATAAATGGTGATAGATTCGTCTAGGACAACCTCAAGGACAACATCTATGACGACGTCGATTACGACGTCCTAGAGGACGGCATCAAAGACGATGTCTAGGACGGCCTCTAGAGCAATCTCAAGGGCGACTTCTAGGGCGACTTCAAGGACAACGTCGAGGACGACCTCTAGGGCGATCTTAAGGACGGCATCTTGTACGAATTAAACGACGACGTCAAAGACGACCTCTAGGACGATCTCTTGTACGACCTCAAGGACGACTTCTAGGACGAAGTCCTAGAGGAAGACGCCCTAGAGGTCAACGTCAAAGGCGACCTCGAAGACGACGTATAGGACGACGTCGAGGATGACATCAAGGTCGTCAGGTTCTGCGAAGAGGGTGCGAATGTCAAGTGCGAGAATGTAAGCTAAAATGGTCTACTGCGCATACCTAACTGCGCGGTTCTCGGCAGCAGGCACGGCACGCCGTCAGGGAGCGAGGCGATGCAAACCGATTGGCGCTCCGGTGTTAATTGTGTGAAGTCACCTCCGTGACCCAGGTTTCGTGACCTCGATCTCCCAACTTCGCACCTTTTTCCAAGCGCGGAGAGAGTCGTAGTTGTGGGTCAAAAAACAAAACAACGGAACGAATTTTTCTTGTCTTTGGAAACGTTTTTAGCACGTGCTATTATTTTCATCCCAGTTAAACCAAAAAGAAAAAAATAGACGCTTTCAAAGCACGTTGCAAAGAATGCAAAGGGGAAGGAGTCAGGACAGTGGTCAAAAGCCGCATGACCAGTGCCTCAACGCTGGCCGCGCTCGCGACAGCGCTGACTTCCACGACGTGCTTGAACAGAAGCTGCGATCGTTATAAAGTTAGCTCCAACCCCCTTCAACATGCCCCTCCTACAATATTTAATACTACGTTTGTCTGTGGATACCTTCGCCTGCATTTTTAAACAGTAAGTGCGTCGGTAACACTGCTTATCGACGAAGCAGCAGACGCCGCCATCTTGTCCGCGCGTTTGGGGGCTCATGTACCCTGTATTAGGAGGAATAATGGCTGATTTTGCTCGCGCACCCTTCTCGGTCAGTCCCGGTCGAGAACCGTTAATCCTCAGCATTTGCTCACGGTATCTAGCTCGAACCAGATGGTATCTTCGGGGAGCAAAGGTGAGTTCAGAGGACCAAATGCTGCCGGCTAACCCTTAGAGACAATCTTTTTTATAATGCCCGAGTCCAACTGGAGTGACAAACAGAAATTGCCCACAATAACAACTCTTAAACACGTGCAGCATCCGCGTGAGGGTACCCTTGAAAGGCTTGCAATCGTGCTCACTTCGCGAGCACCGAGAGGCTCGAAGCTTAGCCAAGATATCTTCCGTGCCTGCTGCACGAGTTTAGAACTTGTCGGTGTCGGTCCTTTCTGTTTGTCGCTCTAGTGGGACTCGGTCATTAGAGTGTAGGCATATAGGCGAAGGACGCCCTGCAACACTCCACTGCATTTTGACGGGGTGGGGGGAGAGAAATCATAGCAGCTGTCGCTGTCAAATAAAAGAGAAATATTGTTTCTTTTTGTGCTTTCAGGAAGAAGAAAGTGTCCTGGAGAAATGCTAGGGAATGTCGAGTTGTTCCTGTACCTTGCGACGCTCCTGCAAAATTTCAGCGTGTTTCCCGAAGAAGGAACGCAGCTACCAGATCTCGGTTCTCTCGCCACGACATGCTGTCATCCTTCCGTCAAGAAGCTGCGCTTCGTGCCCCGCCGATAGCCACGACAAAAAGGATGTGGGTAGAAGCCAATGTTTTGAAAGGTTTCTCAGAGTTTACGGTTTCCAGTTAGGGTATCGCCATGTGGACAGAGCTTTCAAAAGGTCTCGGAAAAATTAATCGCATTCCAAGAATATGACACGAGGACTCATGGATAATTTATATTGCAACAAAGGCAGACGGTTGTAATTTGTTAACCGTTTACTTCGGAGCTCCAAGATCGATTGGCCGCGTTAACGCATGAACACGAGCCCCCCTTGTGCCCCATCCAATCTTGGAGATGCACGTGGATGAAGTCGACGCACTGTCGAGTTAATTCGCCACATTAACCCCTCCCTGGTGGGAGGAAGGGGGTGGAGATGTAATGTGATGTGAAGGTACTGTTGGCGTGCAGTGCGTTGGGAAGCAACTTGAGGTTCATTGTGCGGGAGACAGTGATTCAGGCGGAACACATTTCTTGAGACGCTTCACATCAATCATGTTGTCATGTCTAAAGCGGCCGTCACGTGGCGACAAAAAGTCTCCACGTGGTAGGTCGCGGGAGTCAGTTGTCTGGTGAATCAGCATGACTCCATTTATTAAAAAAATATATTTTTTTTAATAGGCGTCCGCACCCACACGAGATTTCCAGGCGCGTAAGTTGTGAGTATCCGATCGTAACGAGTCTTCGTGGTGTGCTGTTGGCGAGCAGTGGTCATTTGCTCAAGCTGGCGGCAATCTTCCGCGCGGCATGTATAGTTCATGATCAAGTCATCTCTATATCAGTCATTGTATATGAAGACATGGTGTTGATAATACAGAATGCACTTCGTTCATAAGGAACAATAAAGGAAAAAAACAAAACCAGTGGTTCCTATCAGTCCTGCGTTGTACACGAGCGTGGCAAAGGGCACGAATCGTTCCCAATTGTTATGATCTGGGGCAATGCACATCGATAATATATCAACGAGGATTCGATAGAAGCGTTTAATAAGGCAGTTTGTTTAAGGATGGTAGGGGTCGGTTGCACGTCAAAAGATCCAGAGGTGGTCCAAATTAATCCTCAGTCCTCCGCTGGGGCGTGCGAGATGCCCGTCGTTGGTTTGGCACGTAAAACCCCCAAATTTGACTTAAAGATGGTAGGGGGATGTAGTGTGATGAATGACTTTGCAAGCTTTGAAAACAGCCTCAAATATACGGTATGAAAGGCAACGCAAAGAGGTCACCTTCGCATCGCCCTTTAGCACGAGATCCTTCAAGTACAGCACAAACTACGGGGTCACCAGGGGTGCTATTCTGGTCACAAACGGTCACGTACGTGTTTCTCGAAAACTCCTCCCCCCTACGAACCGCGCGCTCCTATTGGTCACAGCCCGCGTGATAATTCCACGCGGTTTCCAAGGGAACGTTCGCGAAACACGAAAGCAACCGTTTGCCGTAACTGTCGCTCTTCGAGTTCGGACCGTGACGACAAAGTGACGTATGACCACGTCCGACCTACGTAGCACATAGCGGAAGTCACGTCACTAGATTAACTGCGGTATTACTTGACACAGCCTACTCTCTGTTTCACTATGAGTGCGAGCTAGTGCGGGTGTAGGAGCTAAAAGAACGTGTTCTGGGCTTTCAACGTCCCTGTCGAGCAGGCGCGCTTGCGCAGTGCAAGCTAACGTTCGTGCAAGATCGTTCGGGGTGATGCGCTCGTGCTTTTAGCCTCTCTTTCTATTGCACGAAGGGGAACAAGCTTTGGGCAGGATTCTAGAGCGTAGAAAATGGCGGCGATGCTTGTTGCTCAACGATGGCTCGACCAACGCGTACAATGACGGGTTTTCCGCGAGCACCCGGTTGCCTTCGCGATGCACGACGACTGTTTCTGACGACAATACCGCTTGTCGAGAAGCACCCTGTGATCGCAGTGTGACAACGAGAGACGGCGACGATGAGAGATGATGACCGTCGAGCAGCAGCTACTAATTGAATCGCACTGAGATTTTTCGCAACGGGGAACTACAAGGGCGCGGTTGCCCCCGATGGTCACATAGCTAATGTCCAGTGGATGGTGATCAGAGCCGTGACGGCCGTCGTGAGTGTCGCTGTCAACCGGCTGGGAAGATACGGTTGGGTCGACAAAACCCCGAACCGAGGCAGCTGAAGCATGAGCGAAAGAAGGCTTTCGTCGCCACCATGACAAGCACAGCGACGTCGTCGGGTGCGTTGACTAAACTTAGACTCTAACTAAACCTTCGTCACCGTCATCATCGGTCTGAAGGAGACCGTCACCATTCTGAAGGACTCCAACACTTTGCCGCAAACACCATTTTGCCATTAACAACATGGTGGTAAGTTGACCTTTAAAGTTCAGGGTTTTTACCGCTTCGAAGTTAGTGCACGCTTAGTACCTATGTCTTCAGTTGACAATTTGTTGCGGTCTGTAGCTACTGTCAATCACGGAATAAAATCTGGATGGGTTGCTGATGGCATTTTGTTGTATCAATTAGATATTTTACCTTTTCACGCCAAGCTGCTGGAATTGCAAGTCAGTCATCGGAATGTCATAAGAACACTTTTCGATGCCCTGCAATAAACTACGAACAGGTCTGTCCTAAAATGAATCGTTACTTGTCTAGACAGCAGCAGTTTAGTCTGACAGAGTATGGTAACATTGTTACCCACTGTAGACGGGAAATTCAGGCAGTGTCTTGTGGATGGTTGTCATCTTCGTGACCAAGAAAAACAATAAAAATAGAATTGTCCTACATTCAACACACGTGTGTTTAATGTAAAGGTTATTATAGCAATTCAATAGATTGTCGTTTTAAAAGTGACAGTAACTCAATGAAATTAAAGAGTAGTGTGAGCTGGATTTTTGAAATTTGCCTGTGGTGCAGAGCAAATACGCACTGTTGGCTTATCACCATCAAGCATAAACGACAAGCGGAGGCAGAGTAGATGTGTGAAGGAAAAGCGAGCATATGTACTAAAGAAAGAACTGCTACGTAACGTGAAGAATGTCAGCAACTATCTTGCCATTGTGGTACGAGCTCAGTGGCTATGCACATGCTTATAGCAGCCTGTGAATGTAGGATGCTCCCCTTATGTGGCAAAGCCAGGGGGGGGGGGGCGGGGGGGGGGGGGGGTTTATGGGGCTTCGCTCCTTCCCTCCCCAAATCCGGCGGGCCCTAGAATATACACACAAATTCCGACACCATCTTCCCCGCACACCAAGTCATGAACATCCCAACCACCTCAACCCCCCTCCATCCTCACCCCCTTAGAAGTTCCTGGCTACGCCACTACTATCAACAGCACTCAATAGATAGTCAACATTATAAAGATAAACGAAATTTCTTTTATTTAATGCACCATATAGGGAGTGTTTTTGTATTTATATGCATGCAGTCAAAGCACACACTGTAGAAAAGACTTGTGTGAAGCCTGCGTTCACAATGCGGTCCCCGTCAAACTTTTGAAGGCGTTAACGAATTCCACAAATTAAATTTTCAACGAAACGAATTCGTTTTGCAAAACGCTGTCAAACTTACGTTGCGTTTTACATCATTCACCTTTGTCGTCCGATGAATCAGTAGTCAGCACTACACAAACCTCAATGAGCTTGTCGTTTGTTTTCTTGCCGTTGGGGCGATCGCTGGCGGTCGTGGCGGCGGCGCAATTCTGTCTCAAGCCGTATAATTCCGCGCGTGCGTTATATTTTACTAAAGTTCGCTAATTCAAAGGATTTGCGCAATTCTCAGCAATTATTGAACTAAAACTACGCCTTTAAATGTGCTCAGTAAAAGGTTACTTAGGTGAAAAATATTTATTATCTTAATTACCGAGAAGCGTTAATGATTTGTTTGAACAGGCCCTTCGTTAGAAATCTACGAGCGATCCACTCGTTTTCTGTGCGATACGCAGTTTTCTCAGGACGACGTGCAGTGAAACACGCTGCATATCTTCAGACTGTGAGAACAAGTGCCCGATTCGCCTAATATTTCCGTGCTCGCGGAAACGTGGTTCCCTTTGTGTCAAGGTGAGGTTATGAATCTTAATGCACGGCAACGCTGAAGAAAGGTCTATTACCGTCTTCATAATCTCAGCAACGCTACCGTACGAGCCACAACAACACTACCACTTTCAAGCTTCATAACACCGGCACAAATACAGGGTGTCACAAAAGAAAATTTACATGGTCTTTTTCACCGCAAAAATAAACTAGGCATCGCCGAACGCTCATTTTCTGCCCAAAGGTAGAGCTAGAGGTCACAACCAGATGCCAAAGTTTCAGCCCGATCCGATAACTTAATCAAAAGTTATAAGTGATTTTCTGAAAATTTCAATGGGAAAATGGAGCCCATTTTTGCCCGTTTTCGGTTTCTAGTGCCATAGAGCCCCATGTGTTTGAAAAGTCCGTCGGCCGCCATTTTCCCATTGAAATTTTCAGAAAATCACTTATAACTTTTGATTAAGTTATCGGATCGGGCTCAAACTTTGGCATCTGGTTGTGACCTTTAGCTCTACCTTTGGGCGGAGAATGAGCGTTCGGCGTTGCCTAGTTTATTTTTGCGGTTAAAAAGACCGTGTAAATTTTCTTTTGTGACACCCTGTAGAAGCCAAGCCTTGCATCTCGCCAAGCGTTACATCGGAGACGTTAAACGCCAGCTCACTGTGCTCTTCGACTCGGTCCTGCCGCCGAATGGGCTCATCTAACAGCACGAAAGTATTCGCGTGCCCGTTGATCGAGTGACCGATCGCTTGTCAAACCCCAGCCGCGGTCGATCCGACGAGCATCGCGGCCATGTTCTTTCGAGTTTAACTCGCCAAGCGTACGGTTGTCGAGTTAAAACAATGCAAATAGTCCCGTGCATTCTTGTTCTTACGTCATTTTGTCGTCACAACCCGAACTCGAAAAATGACTGTTAGCGGCAAACAGAGGCTTTCTAGTTTCACGAACGTTTCCATGGCAAATGGCGGTGAATCGTCACGCGCAATGAAGCCAATGGGAGAGCGAGGTACCTATGTAGGG